CTCTTGAGTCCCTACTACCAGTTGTGACATCAACGTACCGAAACTCTTTTGTGCCAGTAACAGATAAAACAAAACAAAAAAAGCCTTTTGTGTCAGACTTTGACCTGTAACTTTGTTTGGTGGATGTTAAAAGCCTTACAAACAAATGCAACAACAAATATTGCTGGACAGGAAGTTTACTGTAATTGCGCTTGATATCCAGTGACCTCATGCTCTGATTTCACTACATCATTAATTCGTCTCCAGTCACACAGGCCTGCAGGCTCATCGGTTAAGGAGGAATGAGTATTCCCCAACTGGTTGGACAGTGCTTGGTGGTGGGTGACTGCTGTCCCTCAGTGAAATTAATCACAAAGAGTGCTGCACTGAAAACTACCCTGTCATTTCTTTGGTTGCTAGAAGATTGCCATGGTCATCTGTAGTTCATATGGAAGACTAGTCTGCAAACACTCACTAACTAATCGTGAAATTATCAGGTTTCTGGTTGACCTGAAACAGAGAACGTCAGGTGTCAGAGTACAAGTTGTGCATTTCATTGAAAAAATACAACTTTTACTTTGAAGTTTCTCGGGTTTGTGTCGCACTCCTGATAGTTTTACTATCACTCAGTGGTTAGTTAGGGAGCGTTTGCAACTTGGCATTTCACAACAACAAAAAAAAAACTATGGGGGACCGCGTTAACTAAAGCAATCACAAGGTTGTCAGTGCAGGATGTAGTTCTCCAACTGCACCACCCCTCACCAACGTTATTCCTGTGAGAGCGGAGGTTTCCAGGTTTATTGACCCATCGCTGATATCATGTAACAGGCTATGACACAAAGTTGGGAACACTACACTACTTTTTTACTCTTTGCTTTTCTCTGTCAGTAAAAATTCAAGCACATCCTGTGCTCTGAGTTAGCCGGTCAGCTGTTTCATTTTAAATAGCTTCAAATCTCATGTAAAATTAGCTTGGCAAAATATTCAATTTGGCAAAGAGAAGAGGACACAGAAGCTTCTTTTTCCTGTTATAATTCAACGTCACCTCGATCTGCATCAAAATAATCTGACAACAAACTACAGAAATCCTTCAGATTCTAGTCTGCAGGTAAAGGAATAACAATAAACTGAACTTTGGCTGCAGAAACATTTCAGCTGGACTTTACAAAAACAGCAGCACAGTGGGTAAAACAGCACAGTAGATGGCACGTACAATCCAGTGATTCAGACACATTATAAATGTAATGGCACAAAAAAATAAGCTCCTGCCCGTCGCCGTGCTCTTATTTCAAAGCCAATAGCTTCATCTCATCACTGACAATTATGTGTCGGTGTTGGTCGTGTGAGTTGGTCCCAATTGGTAATGACACATCTCATCAATAATTTTCTGTTTCCAAGGGAGGAATCATGGGAGAAAAATGTAGATTTTTCCAACATGAAAAGAACGTGTTGTGCAACTCTTTACATGCAAGACAGAAGCAAGCGTGACACTGAAGACGAGCTGTAAGCGTGTTGAAGACATGCCCAGTGATGCAGCTGGATCGCTCGTTCCGTAGCTCTCTCTCTGTCACACACACACACACACACACACACACACACACACACACACACACAGCACATCCCTGAAGCCCACAGAAGAAACTTAAATCGTTTGACCAGGACACTATGGATTTCTTTATAAGAGGTCAGAAAATATAGAAAGAAAAAAAACTGATTCTTGTGTAAAGCCATAATCAAAACATTGTAAATGCAAATGCTCACTATCATTGGTTCAGATTTGCACTGAAGAAAAAAAAAGAAAAGAAAATATTAAATATCTTAGTAAATATCAGGAAAGTGATAAGGCTTAAATCTTTCTCCAGTTCGACGTGCCTCCCAAATATGATTCCTAATGTCGGAAGTTTTTCCCCCAGGTGCCAAATATCCAAATATCCAAATATCCAAATATCCGTGGAGATCGACTGGTTCACTGTGTGTCTGCTTGAAAAAAGCCCTGATTGTCAGAACAAATTGTAAGAATATGGTTGTTGTTTCCTCGCCTTAAAGCTAGTCCCATCAGTTTCCACTCTCGTCTATTGTCCCCTTCGGCCGTGTCAGAGTCCCGCGTTACAAATCCGCAGCTGTGCTGTCCTGTTTTGGTTTTCGTCTCTGCGTCCGGTCCTCAGTCACTCCGAGTTGCAGTCGACTGGAGAATTAATGCACAGGAGCCCGGGGATGCTCAAAAGGGCTGTAAAGCTTATATCCACACTCGATACACTCCAAGCCCCTCCAGCGTCAGTACACGTCGGAGCTCGCAGGGCTGACAGAGCTGCTCTTAACAAGTCTACTTTCTAGATGTTTCTCTGGGCAGTGAGGTACTTGAGAGCTGCAGAGCCATACTTCCTGGACAGATCCTGGTGGAACTCATCCTTCAGGGTGTTCAGACAGTTGCGGTAGCTGGAGCTGGAGCGAAATTTAGAGATGTCGAAGCTGGGAGCGTGGGGCATGTGGATCATGAAAGCATTCGGCAGGACCATCAAGTCATACTCCTGAAAAGAAGAAAGAGATGATAAATGGAGAACAAATGCATTTTCAAATGGCTTTCAGCCTCCACTCACAGTTTGGGTAAGTTTATCAAAACTCGATTGGACGGGTTAAATACACCCTTTAAGAATATTGATTTTATGCTACAGTCACGTGGGGGAAAAGCCAAAAATGATGACCAAAATTATCGTGAGTGTGTACACTGAACTTGCAATCTTTGGTTGCCCAGGTCTGCAACAAGAAGGTGATAAAATGGCAATAACCTGGAGTTCATCTGTTTGCAATTACATGCAATCTCTTTGTGACAATATGGCAATTAACTGTGATCAATTGGTAAAAAATTGCAAATCTTTCCCATTACACAGAAATTCATATTAAATCTCAAACACACATTGCTCCACAATAGTGGTTGCTATGGTGAATGGATGTGGACAATGCTTCATTTTAGATTTAGGCTCCATACTGCATCATGGTTAGATGGCTGCTGGAACAGAGTCATCTCCCAGCTTCTGGGATGCATAAACTGTACGTTATCTCCCACAAGGAGCATGGTTTTGGTTCTGCTGGAAG